CACACCTACTTTGAAGCTTATTTTGATTCCTTACCCAGTAATTTCCCCCTCTTTGGAATTTCTTTCCCAGAAGAGTTGAAACTGAAAACTTAATACGGTACTACGGACATTTTTTTCTGGTTCTGGAGTTTGAACTAACTTACCTTTCTACCAAATTATGGATAAAATGTGTTTTGAAATAGGATTTTTGTACTGAGAACTGTTGGCTCATGTCTGCAGTCTTACCTACTCAGGAATTTGAGATCTGAGGATGGCAATTAAAAGCAAGCCATAGCAGGAAAGTCTGCAAGACTTAATTCTCAAATAAACCACCATGAAGATGGAGGTATAGATGTTAGCCTTGAACAAAACCAAAAAAAACCTCAGGGAAAGCTTTTAGGATGTGAGATGAAGCCCCAGCGATTCCTGAACACACACATACACACACAAACACACACACACACACACACACTACAATCTGATGACCTAGAAAACTCCTTACACCATGCAAATTTCTGCGTACCATGGCCCACAGTTCACCTAGCAAAGGCACTAAGACCCATTGTGTGAGCCAGGATTTCCCTTCTATAATCTCATTCGTTTCTGTCGTCCAAGATCCTCAGGAGCCCTTGGAATTCCATTCCACAAGAGCCAGCCCTGGGATCTGGGATTAAAACTGATTTTCATCTTCCTCATATTCTTTCTGGAGAACCATTTAGAATGGATCAATTCTCTAATGCACTGATTTTTCATTCTGGTATCAACTGTTTGGCTGCTCCACACATCAGACCTTACAATGCCATTCACAGTGTTCTCTGGTGAATCAATATGGGGGCTTTTCCTCATATCCCCGCTGTGCATCGGTGTCATGAGAATTCCTTGCTCTCCACACTCTATCTGTATGTGTTTTGATTCCAACGTCATCTGAAGAAGCCCATCAACGCTATCTTCCTGCACCTGTGGTCAACATCTTGAACCTCACCTTCACAATGTTGCCAGACATCATGGCATCTTTTGGAGTCCAACATTTTCTGGACGGTGTGGGCTGCAAAGTGGTGGTGTACCTCTTCAGAGTTACCCAAGCACATTCTATCAGCACAACATTGTTCCAGTGTGTGTGGCTTAAATCTAAGTCTTCAGTGTGGTTTTTCCCTTCTTTCTTCTTCTGGGTTGTCAATAACACTCATCTATGTTCTGGTCATTAAGGTTATGAAAGCCAAAAGCAATTTTACTCTTGCAGGTTCTGGGTTTTCCAATGTATATTGTCATTCTCAACAGATAGAAGACAATAGATTATGATATTGCATCTCTGTCTTCTTATTTTGAGATACTGTGTTTGTAATCCTCATGATCATAACCAGCCTCTATATGGTGACCTCCTTACCAACACCACAAGACAGCCCAGCACCTCCATAGTTCCAGGCTTGCCTCGCAGCCAGCAACCGAGAACACAGCCACCCACATCATCCTGCTGTTGGTCAGCTGTTTCATGTTCTTCTATTGCTCCAACAACATCATGGACTTTTATTACTTTTACACAGCAGTGAAAATTCCAACACTGGAAGTGATGGTTGTTTTTTATCATCAGGCTACCAAGCCTTGTCTCTTTTCTTCCCTATGAAGAATAATTAAAGTCTTTCCAAATGTACACTCTCCATTTCATTGATGGGAAGTACCAGTTGTCATAAAGCATTCAATGGCTAATTAGACAGCCAGAACTTTTGCTCAAAAGCAGTGAAGTTCTTAGTAATGTACATGGGGAATAAAATTGTGTGTATAAACTGTGTGTATTGAGCACTTGAAGTCTTATTCAACTTCAGACATGCTGAAATTCTTAAACATTGAGGAAGTATGTTTTCCTAAACATTTGATATTTATATCCCCTGTTGTTGCTGTATTTGAGTTTGGTGCCATAGTATTGCATATACATTTATTTGAATTAGGGAAGCGAAGGGGAACAACAGAATGGTGAGATAAAGGACAAGGGCTGAGCCAATGCAACATCAATATACAGAAGACAATATGTTGGAAATGATCTGTACAAATTTTGGGGGGTGATGTGATAGGAGGGAGGGGGATAGAAAGTTGCAGAAAAAGAAGGGAAAGTGTAACAAGTTTGTCAAAAAATGTATTAATTAACTTACTGATGTAACTCTAACTACTCTGTATATTACCTTGAAAAAATATATACATATCTTTTTTTTTTAATCGGTCATGGGGCCTGAACTCTGGGCCTGGGTGCTGTCCATTAGCTCTTCAGCTCAAGGCTAGTGCTCTACCACTAGAGCCACAGCACTACCTCTGGTTTTCTGGTGGTTAATTGGAGATTAGAGTCTCACAGCATTTCTTGCCTGAGCTGGCTTTGAATCTTGATCCTCAGATCTCAGCCTCCTGAGTAGCTAGGGTTACAGTGGTGAGCCACCAGTGCCCAGCTCAAAAAAAAGGTATATATGGCTTAGTTGTTTAAACTATTATGGGAGGGGGGATGGAAATGTGGCTTAGTGGTAGAGTGCTTGCCTAGCATGCAAGAAGCCCTGATCTCAATTCCTCAGAACCACATACACAGAAAAAGACAGAAGTGTTGTAGTGGCTCAAGTGGTAGTGTACTAGCCTTGAACCAAAGAAGCTCAGGAACAAGCCAGGCATTGGTGGCTCATGCCGTAATCCTTCATACTCAGGAGGCTGAGTTCTAAGGATCAAAGTTCAAAGCCAGCCCAGTCAGAAAATTCCCTGAAACTCATCTCCAATAAACCACTAAGAAAATCATAAGTGGTGCTGTGGCTCAAGTGGTAGAGTGCTTGCTGTGAGCTGAAGAGCTGAGAACAGTGTCCAGACCCTGAGTTCAAGACCCAGAAATGCACCCCCAAAAAAAAACATTATTGGTAGGATAAAAGAAATACATTTCCAGTACACTATTAAAATTAAAAATAATTTCTGTTTTTTAATAAAGACAGCAGCTAGACAGTCTATTTCTACTTAGCTTTCCCTTCCTAATGACAGTGCTGTTTATTATATGGAATTTTATTAAATCACTCTAAGAATGCTGGTTCTCAAATGACAGAGCAGCATCTAGCCATCGAGAAACAGCATGTGGCCAAAGGACACAGCCAGAACCAGGCACAGGTGGCTCATGCCCATAATCCTAGCTAGTCAGAAGCCATGACTGTTCTTAAGCACCCTGGGAAGAAAACTTAGTGAGACTCTTACTTCAACTAATCACAGGAAAAGCCAGAAATAGTGCTATGGTTCAAGAGGTACAGTGCTAGCCTGGAGCAAAAGAATCCCAGGAACAGTGCCCAGGTCCTGAGTTCAAGCCCCAGGTCAGGCAAAAAAAAAATAGTGGATCTTGCAGCCAATGACAAACAAAATTGTAGCCAGTGACAATACAGGAGGCAACCAAGAACAATCAGGATGCAGTCAACACAAAGATGTATAAACACCATGACACATATTCTGCAATCCAGTGATCTCCATGACTCTACTCTGTGACAAGCAGTGTGGCAATGGCACAATGGAGATCAGTGTCCTGATTTAGACAACAAAAGAAACCTTCCAAGATAGGGCTGTGAAGAGAGTAAATCCCTGCAGGTCCCGTCGTCCATCACCACTGGACATACTGAAGAAGTGTCATGAGGAAGAGGGATGCTGTTCAGTCTTGAGCCCACTGGACATTGGGTATTTTATTGTATTCTATGTTTTGGTCAGAGACCAGGACTGGAACTCAGTATCTGATGCTTTCAGTCATTATCTGATGTTCCACCAGTCCCCTATCCCAGCCTGGACACTAAACCTCTTTTGAAGTCTACTCCCCCTGTTTTCCTTGCTGTTCACGGTTGCTATACACAGTTGGCTCCCCTGATAGTATGTATTAATCCTTAATTACAGTTTAGATCTTATATTTACTGTTTGTGTGTGTTTAGCCAATTTGCATCTTTGGAGTGAAATACATTTGATTATCATGTGTGAGCTTTACATTTCCTTACTGTTTTCTATTTTACTTGACACTGACAGTGTTCTTACCATGTTTTGATAACAAGGAAATTCCGTTTTCAACACCTGAGTTCTCAAGAGTCTCCTCTCTGTTATGAAATTGTTGGAGGAGCCTCTTCATTAAGGATTTGAGGGGTTTTGTTTGAGTTTACTTTGTCATTGTGCTGGACCTGGGGCTGGAAGGGAATATCAAGTTTGTATGCCTGAGCTTTTGCACATGACCTATATAATAATTTTTTAATTTTATTTTATTATAAAGATGTTTTACACAGGGGTTATGGTTACATGAGTAAGGTAATGAGTAAATTTCTTGTTCAGCATTGTTGTAATAATTACATTAAATTATAGTCACTTAAAAAATAAAATAAACAGGCTGGGAATGTGGCTTAGTGGTAGAGTGCTTGCCTGGCATACATGAAGCCCTGGGTTCCATTCCTCAGTACCACATACACAGAAAAAGCTGCAAGTGGCACTGTGGCTCAAGTAGTACAGCTCTAGCCTTGGGCATACAGAGGCTCAGGGACAGTGCCCAGCCCCTGTGTTCAAGACCTACGACAGGCAAAAATTTTTAAAATAATAAAATAGACTTTCCCATAACAAAAACCAAAGCCAGACATATTCAAAACTACAGACCGTCCAAGCTTTCAGAAGGGACAAACACCAATGCTTCTCAAACTACAAAGGGGACCACCTCCACAAGTATGTTACAACACAAGGGGAAGAAAGATGACATTGATCAAGCATCACCGTATTCTTACACTGCTTTGTGGAAAGGCAACTCCGCTGTACAAGTACTTAAAGATTAAAAAATAAAACGAAATAAATAAAACAAATATGTACAAAACAACAATACTTCACATAAAGAGTTAAGATCTGAAATCAAGCCTTAACATTAACTGCACCCCTCAAAAACACTTTTGAAAAAGAACAGAAGGAACATGATCATATCAATACATGCACAAAAATCCTTTAACAAAATTCAACAAGAATTCATATTTTTTTGTCATCATGGGGCTGAACTCTAGGCTGGGGCTCTGTCCCTCAGCTCTTAAGCTCAAGGGTAGTGCCTTACCACTTGAGCCATAGTGCCACTTCCAGTATTTTCTCCTTATGGAGTGCTGAGAAATCAAACACCAGGGCCTCATGCATGTGAGGCAAGCACTCTACCACTGAGCCACTTTCCCAGCCCAGTAAGACTTCATTTAAAAAGCTCTGAAGGACAGTGGGACATGCCTCAACTTCACAAACTTATGTATGATAAATCTATAGTACACATGGTCCTAAATGGGGAAAATTGAAAGAAGTATGCATAAGAAAGGAAGGTGAGGGAACTCAACAATCTCCACTCTCTGATGCTATGAATAGGGACTTGATCTTTCTCCCTCCATTTCACTGAGAAGTTTGATGAGTACCAGTATTAAACTTGAAAAGTCTTGCAAGATTTCAGACATGAATCCCCTCGTTCCTGGGCTTTTCCTTTTTGGAAAACGGCTGATTATTTCTTTAGTCTCATTGCATTTTATGGGCCTGTTTGTCTGGTTTATAATTTCCTGGTTCAGCTTTAGCAATTTGTATACATTTCTACTTGATTTTCCATCTTATTTGAGTATAGGTTTTGAAAGTATTCCCTCATAATCTTTTGGATTTCTTGGGTGTTTTTTTGCAAAGTTTCTATTACCATTTCTAATTTGGTTAATTTGAGACTCGTCTTCACTAATATAAGTAGTGGTCTGTTAAGTTTATTGATTTTTTCCAAATGTCACCTTTTGGTTTGTTGATTTTATGCAATAATTCTTTTTTGGCCAGTCCTCTGTCTTGTGTTCAGGGCCTGAGTACTGTCCCTGAGCTTCTTTTGCTAAAGGCTAGCACTTTATCACTTGAGCCACAGCACCACTTCCCACCTTCTTTTGAAGGGGGGGGTACTGAGGAATTGAACCCAGGATTACCCCAGTTTGGGTTTCCATTACTGTCCTTCAAAACTGCTAGGGGTTCTCCTTGCATTCAGAGTTGGTGTAGAGAAATCTGCAGTAATACTATCTTATTTCCGTAGTAATAAAGTTCTTCCTTTGGCTTTTGCTTCATTTAAAAATAGCTTTTTGTTCTTGAAGTGCAAATGTTTCACTTTGATGTGTCTAAAAATATTTTTCTGGGATCCTGACTGCTACAAGTTCTTCAAGTCTCTGTTAGTTGGGTGAGATTCTGTCTGTTGACACAGGAGATATGTTCTGTTCTTATTTTGTTACCTAGTTTTTCAATGTGTATACAGAGACTTTGAGAAAAGAAAACTTTCTAGCATATCTTATGTGCTAGTTTATGACCCCTATTCTGTGGGGTCTTTGAATCCCCCAGCTCTGGTGCATTATATGCTGTACTCTGCAGAGCCAGAGCACATGGTCACCCGTGGTGGCAAATCCCAGTGGCAGAGAGAATTCTGGGTTTTGCTCCAAGCTCAGGATGCATCCAGGGATGTAGGAAGCAACATGTAATAACCAGCTACTTCCTGAAGTTTACTTACTGATGAGTATGACTTGTTTTATTCTAATCCATAAAAATAATGTGTTCTCTAACCGATTCCTTTAGCACCTGGGAAACTGATTGCCTCTCCTGTGGGGATATCAGATTGATGCCCTG